GGGGGGGGTTCCTTTAAGCACAGGCCTCAGGCAGCAGCCACACAAAATAACTCCTGACCTGATGCCCTGCTGGACCTGGTTCCAGTCAGGTCTTAAATGCGATTCAGTGTCCACTCAGTGTGGATGCACTATTTCAAAATAGCAAAATGCTATTTCAAAATGCATTTTGTGTGTAGATGCGTCATTTCAAAATAACTTATTTCCAATTAACTATTTTGAAATAAGATATTTCAAACTAACGCTGTAGTGTAGACATACCCTTAGTGCCCTCGGTGACTGTTGGACTCAGTCTGTCTGGCCCTGTCTACACTGATAAGTTTATCACGTTAAAAGGCAGCTGCACTTTAGTGTGGACTGGGCACAAGCACTGGCAGAGAATTCTCCCAGCATGGTAGGAAAAACCCCTCCATGAGCGGAGAGCCAACAGCGCTGGAAGCCTGATTAGATTGGAGATTTACAGCTCTGTAACTTGCAGCATTAGGGGAGGATGTGTTTGCACACCCCTAAGTAAGAAAATAACAGCAGTGTAGCAGCAGTGTAGTCACCTCCTCAGAAATCAGCCACATGGCACATCAGTAACTCGAATCAGAGCCAACAAAATATTGTACAAAAATATCCTATGCTTCATCTGAATAAAAATGGCCACCGCTTTTTGCCGACACGGCACTTTCCCGGCAAAACGGCAGTCTAGACAGCGATCAGTCGACAAGGAAAGCCTTTTCCAACCAATCCCTTATGCCTCGTGCAACGAGGTTTACAGGATTGGTGGGAAAAGGCTTTCCTTGTCGACAGATCCCCGTCCAGACTGCCACATTTTGCCGGCAAAGTGCCGCAAGTGGCGGCCATTTTTATTCAAATGAAGCATGGGATATTTAAATCCCCACTTCTTTTGCAATAGCCATGTGCCTAGTCTATATCCCTCTGTCAGCAAAGGGGTGTAGCTTAGACACACCCCTATAGACAACCACCTAACCTCAGGAAGATTCTCACTAACAACCACAGGACATACCACATGAAAACTAATCCTGGAACTTTCCCGTGCAACAAATCCCATTGCCAAGTTTGTCTACATGTTTACTCTGGAGATACCATCACTGGCCTAATCATGTCAGTTATATGATCAAATCCTCATATTCGTGTATGTCCAGCAATGTGATATATGCCATCGTCTGCCAGCAAGGCCCCTCTGCGGTGTATATTGGACAAACTGCTGAGTCACTTCACCAGAGAATCAATGCTCACAGATCAGACATCAGAAATGTCCATACACACAAACCTGTCAGCCAGCATTTCAGTCAAATTGGCCATTCCCTTACAGACCTGACAGCATGCATCTTACAACAAAGAGACTTTAACCCCACATTACAGAAGGAGCCCTCAGAACTTTTATTTATGCTAAAATTCGACACTTTGTGATTGGGCCTTAATCGAGATGATAATTATCTTACCCATTACAAAGACAGCCTCCCCACCTTTTGATATTCGTAGACACCCCAGATTAGCCACTTAATTGACTCTTACAATAAGCAATTTCCTCCTTCCTTCTCACTCCTCCCTCTCATCCCCACTTTCTGTTCTATGTAGCTGATTTGTTAGTTTGTATTTTTTTCATTGTATCCTTCTGTTATATAATGGTCATGCCAATTCGCTTTGGGTATGTCTACACTAGCCCTCTAGTTCGATCTAGAGAGGCTAATGAGAGTGACCGAAATTGCAACTGAAGCCAATGAAGCAAATAAATCCCTAACTCGAATTAGCTGGTAAACCTCATTCCAGGAGGAATAATAGCTAATTCAAGTTAGGGCTTTAATTCGGAATCCCGTTTCATTGCTGCACGTAGACACGGGCAGTTACTTCGGGCTAGTCAATTTCTAAAATGGCGACCGGCCAGGAACATGCTAATGAAGCGTGGGATATTTAAATCCCGCATTTCATTTGCAATTTTGGTCATCCTCATTAGCCTCCCTAGATGGAACTAGGGGGCTAGTGTAGACATACCCTTTCAGAATATGATCTGAAGAAGTGGGTCTTCCCCACGAAAGCTTATCAGCTAATGAACTATCTTGTTAGTCTTCATGACTGCTTTTTTTGTTTTACCAAGATCAGACTAATACGGCCATCGCTCTGTGACTATCTCTCACATAGTTAAGGTGTCCAGGAAAGAGTTAACTCTGTACTATCCAAGTGGTTCGGTGGCTGCTTTTCTTTTGCATCTGATAATCTGGGTTCTATCCCACAAACTCTCATAAAAATGCTCATTGTAAATCACATGTTTGGATTGCTGTGTCCCCTATGGCTGCACGTGTGTTGCCATTCCTGATGCCTGATTTATATTCGTTCAGTCATTTTGTGTCCAGGTCCATACTGTGTACATTTATTGAGAACTTTTCTTTTCCTTCACAAAACCTGGGTCATTATAGCGCAAACACTTTCCCAGAAGGTTACCACAAAACTTGTGATAGGGCTTGTGGAAATTAAAGAAAAACCACTTAGTCTGCAAAATGCCATGGACCCTCTCAGTGGCTTTCTACTCCCATCATTCCATCGCTTCCAAAACTGCCATTTGAGAATTGCCTTCTGCTGCCTGAACTGCAGGGCTGACGTTCACCCGGGACAATTCTTAAATAAGGAATGAGGAACAAGAAGAACCACAAGATAGATATTCGGATGCAGCAGAGTTTTTAATGTGAATGACATTTACAATACACAGTTACAGAACATGAAAATGCAAAACAGAGAGAATGTTTCCCCGGTGTTTTAATATGGGCTATTTGGGACAAGAAGCTTTTTTTCTTTTGTTGCAGCTGCCAGATTGGCCAAAAATTTAATATATGCAATTGATGCCTGTTTCCTTCACACTGCAGAGTTAGTACAAACACAGTGAGCATGATTCTCAGTGAGTCCACAAGTGGCAAAGAGAAGAAGCATGTGGCTGGGAAATCATTGGCAGAAAGAGTTCGTAGCAAGACATTAGACATGAGAACATGAGAGAAAGGGGCTGGGCAGATACAGCTCTCAGCCAGTGTCAGGATGGCAGGACAATTCTGAAATCGATATCGTAATCTATCGGTTGCTCTTCATTTCCTGGTCTTTCCTTTGGCCATAGATATTCCTGCCATGTCTAACATGGTGAGCCACATGCACTCAGGTACCGATGACAAGATACCCCGGTGCCACAAGATCCTCCATAACCGTAACCTCCCCTATATCCACAGAGTCCCCCATAACCTCCCCCATAACCACAGAGCCCCCCATAACCTCCCCCATAACCACAGAGTCCCCCAAAGCCTCTCCCGTAACCATAACCACCTCCATAACCACAGAGACCCCCATAACCAAAACGTCCCCCATAACCACCGAAACCTCCCAAGCCGTAGTATCCCCCGTAAGGAGCTCCATATCCGGAGAGTGCTCCCGCACCAAATGAGCCGCCATAGCCGGATCCCACCACAGGGGCTCCGATTCCTACGGCTCCCACTTCACTCTGCTGAGGGAAGGTGCTCATAATGGGCCCTGGGATGGTCACAGCAATCGGTGAGGGTCTGATCACCACTTCGGAGTCAGGGCACTGCCTCACGCACGGCTCGTTGCAGGTGCCGGAAACTGGGCTGGGTCGGGCCACCCCGCATTCTGGATAGCAAGACATCTTTGTGTGATGGAAGTGAATCTGAAATAGAATAGAATGGAATAAAGCAAAGAGAAGGTTCAGCACCTTGCTGAGGAATTGTCTCATAGCTTGGTTCTTATTCTACATGAGGCCTGAGAGAAAGAGGAAGAGAGGATTTCTTCGCAATGTTTGTGGGTATGTCTTTGTCCCGACTTCATCTTTCGATGACTCTTACCCACTTACTCTAAACTGCTCTCCCAAAGGGCCCCCTTGAAACCTTCTCAGTGAATTGGCCTGGAAAAAAAAGACTGGAAAGAGT